ATGAGAATCATTAAATTTATTTATATGTATAGGTAAGAATCATTAAAACATTGGAATATGTAGTGACTTGTGTCATGTTTCATTCAAACAATAAAATAATGAAAATGGAAACTGTAAGTCCAATAATTATGCATATACATATTTTCGTTCGTCTTTAATTCAGTGGCATTGCCTTGCAATAATTTTTAAAAATCCAGCGATTCAGTCCTGGCTATTTCTGAATATTTTATCGGACGCTGGATTTGTGTATCAAGAAATTTGCTGGAAGAAGTATATTCTTAATAATTTTCTTGGCTCCCGGAAACTGGCCTGGCGGATATCCGCGAAGAAAACCAATATGCAAAGCACGGGAAAGAAAATGGAAAAGTTTGTGAAGAGAAATGCGGGATTGCCTGCAGACCTCGTCGTCCCCCTTTCACGTCGTCAGTCCTATTTCTCTCTTCTTCCCTCTCTCTCTCTCTCCTGCGTCCTCGAATTTTCATGAAGAGGGAATATGCGAATTCCGCTCGCCAGAGCTGGCGAATCGATGCTTGATCAGAGAGCTGAATTTACATTCGTCTATTTCTCCGCCCTCGTTGCGCCGAAGTTACAAAGTATGCAATGATCGAGGGGCAAAAGAATGCTAATCGGCATAGTGGAAAAGTTAATTTCTTTTTTTATACCACTTTTTACATTTACCTGCTATTGTGATTATGATCTGCTCTACTGCTGCAAGCAATAAAAATGAAGTGTATTTACTGACTGCATAATGCAGGAATTAATAATAATTGGTAATTTCTTAACATCAGCTTATTAATTAAATTAATATATTCTTGTACTTTGACGAAGCTTAATTGATTTTTTTTAAAGTTTTTAATAAAATCAGTATGCATTGCGTTATTGTCGATGAAAATTCTTCTCTGCTGGTTTAAAACGTCGTTGGAGATAATCAGGTGGGAAGCTCTTTATTTGCCGGTGATTTATCATGTTCGATGACGAACGGTGCCAACGCATCGCAACGCGAGGCGACTCGAGATAGGGGACTGGAATATCGTCACGATTTATCGTTATTACTAGCGCTGTTCCTTTTGTTGCCAAGCTGGAGACCGTGAATTCTCCTGAAACGAAACGACTTTAGCCTTGAACTTGAACGCGGCGTAACAGCCCGAATTTTCGAGTGGTAACACCTATGTTATAATTAGAACACAGTGCACTTCGACAGACTTAATAGTTGCTTAGCTAGGAAACAAATGGTTCCATTTGGAAGGGACATTCTAGCCCGCTTATAATTGTTTAAGGTGGAATTGAATTTTGTGTCACATATTGCAGGGGTTCTCATACTTTATCAATTTTGTACCACAAATAATGAAAAAAAGTATATGTACTGTCATAAAAGCATTTCCTAATTAAAAATCGATATATTCTATGCAATATTTGTAATTAAAGAATGAAGCATTTTTAACTTATATTCGTAAATGAAATTC